AGAGCCCGCCGAACAAAAATACAACGTGCACGCGTGGGCGTCGTCGCGCGCGCATGCCGGAATAGTTTTCTCTGAAAGCATGAGGATTTCAAAATCGGGTGCCCCATAAACGTATACAATCACAGGGTTTCGGGATCATATTTCCAAACAATTTTTTTTCTCGCCTCGCTCTTGCGAATTCTGAAGGAATCCGGAAGGTTGTCCCCATTTGCATTCCATGCTACCACACGTGCGTCACGGGCGCGCATGCCGAAATCAATCGAACGGCCTTGCGCGCGCGTTGTCTCACAAATATTGTGCAAGACCGAAAACACAGTGCGCACGCGCGCATCGTCGCGCAGGCCGCAATCCGTCATGAACTCTCGGTGTCGCTGAGATTTTTACATCGGATGTCCCAAAAACATGTAAAAACAAATGGTTCGCAACATTAGAAACTTGCGTTCGCGTTCCTGCGAATTCTTACACAAACATTAAACATGTTCATTGGATTCGGTCAACATGTGTTTTCAACATGTTCATAAAATCTGCCAAAGTGGGCCTCTCGCGCCGCATGTCGAAATCATTCGAACGCCTTTGCGCGCGCGCCGGGGGGGGATGGGACACGATCGGCGTCGAATAATGCCGCGCGGGCCACTCTCGCGCGCGGGCCGCGCGAGCATGTCGACTCCCTCCAAAACTTGCATCGCCGACGCGAAAACGCCGTTATCGTCGTCGGCGTGATCAGAATCGGCGCCGTCACTTGCCTTGCAGTGGGTGTTGTCCTCGTCGTCACCGGCATCTACCACCATCATCGTGTCTACCGTTGTCGACATTGACATGGTACCGCGCCCACCCAAGTCGCCGACTCGCACTGAAATTCTTGCTGAATCGTTCGAAGGCCCTTGCGCGTTTGCTGGGGTAGCACGATCCGTGTCAAATAATGCCATGCGAGCCACTCTCGCGCGCCTGCCGCGCGCATGTCGAATGCTTTCCAAAACCTTCATCACCGACGTGAAAACGCCGTCATCGTCGCCGGCGTGATCAGCATCGGCACCGTCACTGGCTGCCCCGTCGTCGCTGTCAGCATCGCCACCAGCATCGCTACTATCATCATCGTGTCTACCGTTGTCGACGTTGCCATGATGCCGCGCCCGCCCATGTCGCCGACTCGCAGTGAAGTGCCAGCTGGGAGGTGCCAGGCGGTCAGCGACACCGCGTTCGCGTCGGACGCGCCAAACTAGCTGGCCGCTGCGCGCGCGAGCATGCGCGGGCGGGTTTGCGCGGCCGCACAGATGCACCAGCCAACACCCAGCACTCATCGCAATCGTTCCCGTATGGGTTTTGCCAACCAAGTTGCGGGTGGGTGGGTGGGATGATTGCGCGAGCAGTGGACTTGACAACTTCGTGTCCGGCAAGCGAATTGCACCACATCGATTCTCCCTTCTAAAAAAGATATAGACTCTACCCCCCCCCGCGTTATCACTCCCCCCGCGTCCGATGTAAATCACATATGATTACGACCACATGTCCGTCCTAAATATGAAATCGCAATGTCCCAGGCCAACCAGGTTCCCCCCCATGAGGCTCCCATGAAAAAAAACACTATGTGGTGACATTGTTGTTCTAGCATCACACTTTTTTCACGAATCCCTTGTGCATAACACCATAAGGCGCACATGCGCGCGGCCGCCGCGCGCGCATGTCGAAATCCTTATAAACACACTGTGACTTCAACAAGTTCAAGATCGGAATTCCATAATTCATTGTAAAAAACCGGCTTTCTCACCCACGAAGTTTGGAAATTTTGCCCGCGCGTTCTTGCAGAATGTTTCAAACACCAGCGGTTTTTCAATATTCTTATCAAGTGGGCCTTCACGGGCGACTTTCGCTCGAACGTCGAACTAAGTCAACAACCTCCGCGCGCTTGCCAGACGCGCCATCCCTGGTAAATAACGCCATAAGGCGCACAAGCGCGCGGCCTTCGCGCGCATGCCGAAATCTCCCCAACACACACTGTGATTCAACAGCTTCAGAATCGGACTTCAAAAATTCATTGGAAGTAATACCACTTGCGCACTGGAGAATTACGAAAATCTGTTCGCACGCGCATGCATAATAACTCAAAAACCAATGGTTTTTGAACATTCATGTCACGCGGGGCTTCGCGGGCAACTTCTCGCGCGCACGCCGAACTCATTCAACAACTTCCGCGCGCGTGCCAGAGGCACAATTCCTGTCAAATAAAACCATGCGGGGCACATGCGCGCGGCCGCGCGCATCGTCGTCGTCGTCGTCGTCGTCGTCGTCGTCGTCGTCGTCGTCGTCGTCGTCGTCGTCGTCATCTTCCCCGTTGTCGTCGTCGTCGTCGTTGTCCCCCTCGTTGTCGTCGTCGGCGTCGGTGTCGTTGCCAAGTGCCATTTGGTACCCACCGCCACGGTCTTAAGAGGTCTTGCGACCAAGTTGCGGGTGGGAGGGTGGGATGTTTGCACGAGCAGTTGAGAGGACAGCTTCAAGTTGAGCAAGTGATTGATTGCACCACGTAGATTGCTCCACATAGATTGCAAAACATCGATTGCTAGAATGAAGAACGGGTTGGGGTCCACGCTGGCTAACACGTGCGAAAATCAATGCCCGTCGCGGTTGAGGGGCTGTTGGGGTCTTTACCTAACAGCGAAGACTGATAGGTTTCTAGTGGGGTCAAAAGAGAGCATCATGACTCCTCAGGGGGGTCGGGGCGGGACCCGGGGCGGGACCCGGCGCGGCTGCCGTCGAAGCCAAAATCGCTTTGGACATCCTCGCAAAATCGCTCTTGGCGCTGCTAGAACTCCATTCCCGGCGTACATTTTGGATGCCCGGAGCCAACTGTAGGCCACTTCGTGCTCTTCGACTTCCCAGAACTCCATTCCTGGCGTACATTTTGGATGCCCGGAGCCAACTGTAGGCCACTTCGTGGTCTTCGTGCTCCCAGAACTCCATTCCCGGGCCACAATTTGGATGCCCGGAGCCAACTGTAAGCCACTTCGTGGTCTTCGAGTTCCCAGAACTCCATTCCCGGGCCACATTTTGGATGCCCGGAGCCAACTGTAGGCCACTTCGTGCTCTTCAGGTTCCCAGAACTCCATTCCTGGGCATGATTTTGAATGCCCGGAGCCAACTGTAGGCCACCTCGTGTTCTTCTAGTTCCCAAAACTCCATTCCTGGGCCACATTTTGAATGCTGAGGCAGGCTGATGCTGCGGCCGAGGCAGGCTGAGGCTGAGGCAGGCTGAGGCTGAGGCCGAGGCTGAAGGCAGACTGAGGCTGAGGCTGAAGCAGACTGAGGCTGAGGCTGAGGCAGGCTGAGGCTGAGGCTGAGGCAGGCTGATGCTGAGGCAGGCTGAGGCTGAGGCTGAGGCTGATGCAGGCTGAGGCTGAGGCAGGCTGAGGCTGAGGCCGAGGCTGAAGGCAGACTGAGGCTGAGGCTGAAGCAGGCTGAGGCTGAGGCTGAGGCAGGCTGAGGCTGAGGCTGAGGCAGGCTGAGGCTGAGGCTGTGACTGCGACTGCCGTTGCCACTGCGACTGTCATCGCGAATGCGACTACGACTGCGAGAACAGCAGAATTCTACAACTGGATTCTCATCTGAATCTAGAAGGGGAATGCTTCCAGATATGCTCCTACACATCGCTGTTAGGTTGCTTTGCCGGGATAATCTTTGCGTAATCTTGGGGCGCCTGGACGGGTTCTGCGGCCGCCTGGAGCTCTCATGGAATTGTTTGGTCGCCCTGCTGACCGCTGTCGCCTCGCTTTCGAGGCGGGCAGCGGCGTCAAGAAGGCCCGGAAGAACGACTGGACGCTCTGCTTAGGTGTCCAGGAAGTCTAGAAGGCCCAGCCATACCAGATGTCGGATTTCACGGGGGGGGGCGGGTCAGCTAATGAAGTCGTGCAACGGGCCAGAGGCATGCTAAAATCTCCAAGAAATATTCGTTTATGTTTCCAGTAACCCGGCAGGTTCCCAGCAGGTCGGGGCCGCGGATGCCCGAACTCCTGGGCTCAGCCCTGGGGGCCCCGCAGAGCGCCCCAGCAGCACCCCAAGGAGGCACCAAGTGGGTGGCAGGCCCCATGGCCGTTGGCCAAAAGCGTTCAAAGAAGGCCCAAGGTGGTCTCAAGACGGCGCCCAAGACGCCCAGGAAGGCTCCAAGAGGAGCCCAAGAGGGCCCGAAGAGGCAAAGTCCATTGGACTTGCCAAACAGTTTTGAAAGATAGTGGCCTTACCGCCTTTTCAAGCTTCCGACTGGCCTCCAAGACCGCCCCACGTCAGCCCAAGAGGCCCCAAGACGGTCCAAGAGGCCTCCCCAGAGGGTTCCAGAGGCTCCCATGAGGGCCCCAAACGGGGGAGCCCGAACAGACATTTCAAGCCTTCCCCGAAAGATAGCCCCCGAGACCGCCAGCAGACCCCCAAGAAGCCCTCAAGAAGCCCCTGCAATGCCCTCCTCCTCCCAAACCGAGTCCCCGAGCCTCCTTCTTGCACCCCATGGGCAAACCAACACATAGCAACACTGGTGCAAAGGGCATTTCCGTAGGGCGGGCCAAGCGTTTGGCCTGAGACTTCATCACCGCCTATGATCCTGAAGCTTGAGATGTTCAACCGTTGCACGATTCAAGCTGTGGATGTCACCTGAGAGTCGCGTACGCTCAAACTGTCAACTACGCACATGGACCCCGCTCGTTCTCAAACTTCGGCTTTCACCGCGCTGCCAGGCTCAGTCGCCTGACAGAACCCGAGCAACCACACGCACAGAGCACACGACCGCCGCCGGCGTCGACGCCGCCGCTGGGGTGACAGAAAAGCACGGATACCAGTACTCCCCGGAAATCTCCAGGGGTGCGTCCTGTGTAGAATTTCGAGGCGAATCCAGCAGTGGCGATGAGAGCTCCCAAGGATGCACTTGAAGGTGAGAACAGGCCCAAAGTAGCGGTTTCGGTACTTCTTCCTTCTCTGACCGTTGGCACCGCGACCGCCGCCGCCGCCGTTGCCCGCGGCACCGCCGCCACCGCAGTTGGCGGCGCCTGCGGCCTCGGGCGGCGGGGACGCCCTGGCGTCCAGAGCGGCGAGCTCGCCGCCGCCCAGCGGCTCATGTTGCGGGGCCTTCGGGAGACCATCGCTGCGAGAGGCAGCCAATTCCTCGTCGTCCCTCCTCCATCCAGCAACTGCACCTCGCCCTCCTCATGTTCCTCCTCCACCTCCTCCTCCTATTCTTCCTCCTCGTACTCCTCCTCATCCTCCTCCTCCTCCACTTCCTCCTCCGCCTCCTCCTCCTCCGCTTCCTCCTCCTTCTCCTACTCCTCCCTTTTTTATTGGCGTTGCTGAAGCTTTGGCTACGTGGCTGAAGCGGCATACCTCCTCGTCCTCCTCCTCCTCGTCCTCCTCCTCCTCCTCCTCCTCCTCCTCTTGCTCCTCCCCTCTTGCTCCTCCCTCACTCCCTCTCCTTTCTCTTCCTCCTCCTCCCCTCCTCCTCCCCCTCTCCTCCTCCTCCTCCTCCACCTCCGCCTCCCTCCTCCCTACAATTTCTCTTTCTGCTCCTCCCTCCCTCTCCTCCTCCACCTCCTCCTCCTGCTCCTTCTCCTGCTCCTGCTCCTGCTCCTCCTGCTCCTGCTCCTGATCCTCCCTTGCTCTCCTCCCAATTATTCCGCCTCCTTCTCCTCCTCCTCCTCCTCCTCCTCCTCCTCATCATCATCATCATCATCATCATCATCATCATCATCATCATCAGCATCATGATCATCATCATCATCATCATCATCATCATCATCATCATCATCATCATCATCATCATCATCAGCATCAGCATCAGCAACAACATCAGCATCAGCATCAGCAGCATCATCATCACCATCATCAACATAAGCAGCATCATCACAAGCATCATCACATCAATAGAATCAGCATCATCAACATCATCAGCATCATTGATCACCCTCATCATCATCTGCATCGTCATCTGCATCATCAGCATCATCAGCATCATCATCAGCATCATCATCACCATCATCACCATCAGTTTCATCATGTTCAGCATCAGCATCATCAGCATCAGCACCATCATCAGCCTCATCATCATCATCATCATCATCAGCATCAGCATCAGCATCAGCATCAGCATCATCAGCATCAGCATCAGCATCATCAGCATCATCAGCATCATCAGCATCATCATCATCATCATCATCATCATCATCATCATCAGCATCATCATCATCATCATCATCATCCGCCTCCGCCTCCGCCTCCGCCTCCTCTTCCTCCTCCACCTCCTCCTCCTCCTGCTACCCCTCTTCCCCCTCGCCATTCCTCTCCTTCTCGTCCTCGCCCGTTCCTCCTCATCCTCCACTCCATCCTGCGCACCCGATCCTTTCCACCCTCCTCCTCCCTCCCCCTCGGAGAGTGGGGGAGGGAGGGAAAAACCGGGACGGGGAACCATCCCGTCATCCTCTACCTTACCTCGTCCTCCTCCTCCGCCGCCTGTCCTTCTCGGTGCACATCCTCCTCCTCCTCCTCCTCCTCTTTTTCCTCTTCGTCATCTTCTTCCTCCTCCTCCTCCCCCTGAGCCACACTGATAATCCTCCTCCTCCTCCTCCTGCTCCTTGTCCTCCTCCTACTCCTACTACTACTGCTACCACCACTACTACCACTACTACTACTACTACTACTACTACTACTACTACTACTACTACTACGACTACTACTACTACTACTACTACTACTACTACTACTACTACTACTACTACTACTGCTACTACTGCTACTACTGCTACTACTACTACTACTACTACTACTACTACTACTACTACTACTACTACGGCTACCCTTACAGAGACTACTACCACTAGAATTTGTACTACGACTACTACTGCTACTTGTACGACTACTGTTACTACTACTACTACTACTACTACTACTACTACTACTACTACTACTACTATTTCTACTGCTACTACTACTACTGCTGCTCCTGTTGCTGCTGCTACTACTACTATTCCTTCTACGATCATAACGAAGAGTACTACTACTACTACTACTACTACTACTACTACTACTACTACTACTACTACTACTATTACTTCCACTACTACTACTACTACTACCACCACTACTACTACTGCTGCTACTACTACTACTACTACTGCTACTACTACTACTACTGCTAAGACCACTACCAGTACTACTACTACTACCACAACAGCCCCCAGCACCACCACCACTACTGCTACCACTGCAACTACTACTACTACTACTACTACTACTACTACTACTGCTGCTACTACTACTACTACTACCACTACTACTACTACTACTTCTACTACTACTACTACTACTACCACTACTACTACTACTACTACTACTACTACTACGACGACTACTACTACTACTACTACTACTACTGAGTCTGCGACTACGACTACGAATAGTACTCCTACTGCTACTGCTGCTAGTACTACTGGTATTACTGCTACTACTTCTGCTGATACTAGTGCTGCGACTACGACTACTTATACTACTACTTCTACGTCTACTACTACCACTACGACTGTACGACTGAAGCGACTACTACTGCTACTGCTACTACTGCCACTTCTACCACTACAACTACTACTTCGATTGCTCCTGCTACACCTACGACTACCACTACCACCACCACTACTACGACTACTACTACTACTACTACTACTACTAGTACTACTACTAGTAGTACTAGTACTACAACTACTACTACTACTACTACTACTACTACTACTACTACTACTACTACTACTACTACTACTACTACTACTACTACTACTACTACTACACTACTACTACTACTACTACTACTACTACTACTACTACTACTACTACTACTACTACTACTACTACTACTACTACTACTACTACTACTACTACTACTACTACTACTACTACTACTACTACTACTACTACTACTACTACTACTACTACTACGACTACTACTACTACTACTACTACTACTACTACTACTACTACTACTACTACTACTACTACTACTACTACTACTACTACTACTACTACTACTACTACTACTACTGCTACTACTACTACTACTACTACTACTGCTACTACTACTACTACTACTGCTACTGCTGCTGCTACTGCTACTGCTACCGCTGCCTCCTCCTCCTCCCCTCCTCCTCCTCCGCCTCCTCCTCCTCCTCCTCCTCCTCCTCCTCCTCCTCCTGCTACTGCTAGCTACTCCTCCTCATCCTCGTGCTCCTGCCCAGCATCCATGCTTCCCCCCTCCTGCCTTCTGCCCCTCTCCCCTCCACCCTACCTCCAAATCCTCTTCTGTGACTGTGGTTGTAAGCCCGCGGGCCGCATATCCGAATGTCATCTCCAATGGCCGAACTCACCGAGTGCTACGGAAAGGGCTGCGTTGACACTGCGCTCAGCGCGCCCGCATTTTCAGCGACACAAAGGCCCCAGGTTGATGCAACGCCGTGCCCCCACCTAACGGTACCGAGCCGTGAGGCAGTGAGTGAGCCTTCGCAGTTCCTTCGGGCTCCCAATACCACGTAGTGCACATGTTCTTCAAAAGGCCGAAACCTCAGAGTTCCTTGCGCATCCTGGCGTTCCTTGTGCGCCCTTGGCCCCCCCAGCATGTCTTTTCCAGAGGTCAGATGTCAGAACCCAATGACAAAGTAACAACATGTTTACAGCCCGAGAGGGAAGAACACGAACTAGCCCGAGGAACCCTCGAGTGCCTCCGTAGCCATTGTGGCTCAAGCCAGCTCGGTTCAGGCTTGCTTGAGCGAGGGATGGCCACGGGAGGGGACCCTCTGCGGTTCCCCCGCTCGCGGCGCGAGCGTGGCGATGCGGCGCGGCGCGCCCAGGCGGCTGCCGACGCGCTCATTTTCAAGCTGAAGAACAGGCTCGCGGAGGCGCAGCACGAGTGCGCCCGTCTCCGCGACCTACTTGCGGGCCCTGCTGTTTCAGATGGCGTGGCCAGGGAGGTGGCGAGCCGCGAGCGCATTGCGCGCCCCGCCCTGTGCGCACTGGTGCAGGAGACCCCAGCTGCAGATTGTCAAGTTCTTCGTCGTAATGTGGCCCTGCACGCCGCGGTATGCCCTGAGGAGTCTGACCCTCCGGCTGCATGGCGCAAGGCGCAGCGGGGTCGGCGTCTCGCGCGCAGCAGCCGCCGTGCCTCCTGGAGGCGCCTGGCTTTTCCCCACAACGTCGATGCGCTGGACTTCGTGCCGTCCGCAGGCTGCTGGGAGGCCCTGCCGCGCAACGAGGTCGCCGTCGACGACGTGGACTCCGTGGAGTCGTGCGCCGCGGGGCTGGCTGCAGGTGCCGTGCCAGGGCCCCTGCGGGAGCCCCCGCGGGGGGCGACTGCCCTTGCGCTGCCGTGCCGTGCCGCGGGCGGCGGGCGCTGCGACGTGGAGGCGGGCGTTCGATGCACGTGCGGGGCCGTGGTGTTCTCGGGCGTGGCGGTCGGCGCGCAGGCGGTTAGCAGGGCGCTGACAGTGCCCAACGTCATCAGCCACAACGCCGCGGTCAGCACGTGCGAGGAGAGCGCTCTGCGGCAGGTCAGCGTCGGCATCCAGAGCGACGTTTACTTTGTCGAGGGCGTGGAGAAGCAGATGAGGCTCTGGGGCCAGGAGCACCCTGGCCGAACGACCCGTCCATTCGTGCGGCGCCGCGCTCGGGTGGACGCGGCGGGTTCGGGAGCTGGCACGCCGCCGCTTCCGCAGCTCGAGGAGCGTGGCGGGGCCGAGTCCCGAGCCGCCCTCGGAGTGCAGGAATCGCGGGAGGCGAGTAAGTGAGTGAGGTTGGCATGCAGTTGCATTCGTGTGTTCGTGTGTAGAGCTGTTTTGCCTGTGAGTGAAGACTCCTGTGTTCAGTCGCAGTCGAGTTCACGGTGGGCGGTGGCCCAAGGCGGCCCCGCTGGGTGTGCGAGTGGCGGCCCTAGGTGGCCCCTCTCGGATGGGTGGCCCTGCGGGGCCCCCGCGAGAGGCGGCCCTAGGCGGCCCCTCTCGGGTGAGCGTCTCTTTTGGCCTTCGGCCCCACCACTCCGCCTTGAAGGCCCCGTCTTTAACTTTAACTTTCACTTTAACCCTCGAGTGCCGGGATGGCCACCGAGACCGCCAAGAAACCCAAGCGTCCCCCAGAGGCACCCAAGAGAACCCCAGAAACATCAAAGGGGTACCCAAGAGACCCCCAAGAGGTCCCAACAGGCCCCCTTTAGACATCCGAAGGGACCCCAGAGACATTCGTGAGGACGCTGACCCGCAAGCCAGGCACAGTGGCGGGATTGGCCAGCCTGGCCATAAAATGTATGAGCAATACCATGCACGTGATTGCAGATAGTACCGCGTCTTCCCTGGCAAAAGGGCTAACGCGTTTTGGCCCCCTGGCCCCTAACCCGCAAGTGTCCAGAAGAGGGCGAACCGTCATAACTACACATGTCATTTCCAATCATTCAGGCTTTCTTTTCGATTATGTATTGGTGGTGTGTTGTGGGAGCAAATGTGGCGTCACAATTCCCTTCTCCCCTGGACTCTTCCCGTTTCCCCGCTTCTCTTGCCCTCCTTCCTTGCCCTAACCCTCACCCCTCCTTCCTTGCCCTCCTCACCCTCACCCTCACTCTCCTGCAGGGCACCCTCGGGCGTTCCTGGAATTCTTGTCGCATGACTTGCTCGAAACCAAGGGGGGCCCAAGACGGACCGCGAGAACCCCAAGAGGCCCACGAGCCGGTCAAAAAGGGCCCCCGAAACGTCCAAGACTACCAATATGGCCCCAGGAGACCTATGATGCCCTCGAAGGGCCCCCCAAAAAACACCAAGGGTGTCAAGAGGCCCAGAAAACACGTCCGAGAGCGCCCCAAGAGGAAACACTCTGAGGTTCCTCCGGTACTTGAAGGATGTTGGCATTTTCGCTTGTTCGGGCGTTTGACGCTCCAAGACGGCCCAAGAAGCTCCCAACACCGCCCCAAGGCACCCCAAAAGGCCCAAGACGGCGCAAGACGGCACAAGCGGCGCCCAAGACGGCCCAAGAAGACCCCAAAAGGGGTGCAAGAGGGGACACCTGAACTGAGATATCGCGCGCTCCACCCAAAGTAGACCCCCGAAACCGCCAGCAGGCCCCCCAAGCCACCAAGAGCCCCCCAAGGAGCCAAAACTATGCCTCGGGGGGCTCCCGAGATGCCCCAAACAGGCCCCAAGAGGCCTCACAACTATCTTCAAGAGACTCCCCAGAACCTTCCCGAATGGTGCCGCACAGGTACACGTTGAATCATATGGTTGAGCCCCAAAGCGCATCCGAAGAACCCCGAGAAGAACCCGAAGAAACCACAACACGCAACCAATGCTCCTGTGCCTGGCAATACAGGCACTGTGGCGGATTGGGCCGAAGGCCATTCGACATGCACGATGAGGGTTACCCCCTACAAAAAAGCATGCGGGCTCGTCCTCCTCCAAATTCCCCCTCTCCCTCCACCTCCTGATCCTCCATGTGTCCGCTCCTGTCTTCCCAGTTCCACTTCCTTGAAAATGGCCCTGCCAGTAAATCGCAAAATGTTTACGATGGGCCCCATCCGCGGTTGGCGCTAATACCGTTGGAGCCAGCCGAACGCTTTCCGCGGGTGGCGCGAGCGCCATTTTCCTCGCCGCGGGAGCGCGCCTCGCCGACAGCGGCAAGGCAAGAAGGAAAAGAAACGACCCCGAGGTCGAGCAGAAAGGAATTCGGAGTCGGGGTTGCGAGCCTCCGCAGCGACCTCGCAGAGGCCCTTCACCCACCCCGACTCCCGAGGCTCGATCCCGACAGCGGGGGGGGAAGAACGACGCAAACGAGCGCCAGACGAGGAACCATTGCCCCTCTTGAGGGCCTGCAAAGACCCCAACCCCCGCGCAGCGCGGGGCTGGCACTCTCTTCCAACCGTCATAACCTGATGGGCTCCGCGAGTGCTACACATAGAACACCAGACTCGGCGGTGGACAAACCTCCCTTCAGTAAACCTCCCGTTAATGAAAACGGCCTGGGACCAAAACCGACGGACCTGGACCCGCAAAATGACGGCCGCGACGCCCTCGAGCGAACCGAAAACGGCGAATTCCTGAATCGACGTGTCAGGGTAGGAGGTCTGTCCACCTCCGACAGACCATGCCTCGGGCCCCGTCTCCATCCCACAACAACTGATCGGACGGTCGAACTTTGCGGACCACATCGGGGGCCCCCGGGCACGGCCCAGCACAGACGAGCTCCCATGACTTCCCTGACTTGCACAAGCCATGCAAACACATTTGTTCTGAAGCCGCCGCTGAAGCCCGCGGCCTTCGGGGGGGCAGGGGGCGACGTCGAGGGGGCCCGCCCCCCGTCTGAGACGGGGCCAAGAACATTCGGGGAACATCGCGGACAACTTCGGCAACACACGGCCAGTCGGGTAGGCCGCGCGATGAGCAACCCACCGCGCAAGCCCTCCTCGGCGAACCCATCCCCCATCTCGGGGGTGCTCAAAAGCCCCGAGCTCGGTAACGTGGTCGGCTAACTCGTTGCCTCTGAAATGAAGCCAGGGGGCTCCGCTTCTCTGGGCCCCCAGCCCCCGAGAGACTGTTGGGCGGGAAACCAACGGCGGGGAGAGCGCCGAGAACTACATCTTCTATCTTCAACTGGACGTTGTGCCAAACCTCCGGTTGCACGCGGCCGCGGCGGCAATGCATACTTCGGCAAAGCGATAGGCCATCGAGACAAGCTCGTCAACAAATTATTACATTCGTGAGAAGAGCCCGAAACAAGCACAGACGCCGGCAAAAGGCCCACAGCTCCGCTAAGACTGACGGGCGGCGGGCCAGTGATCAGGCATCGCCCCTGGTGACTGTCTGCGCTGGTCCACTGACGCGACTGGCCATCCCCTCGGGGGCGCTGAGCGGGCGGGAGGTCAGACCGATGCGTGGCCTGACCGACACCGAAACTCCAGCAGAGCCCCCCCCGTTACGAGACGGCGATACCTTGGTCTTCCAACCGGGCCTGCTAAGGACGCCTCCGTCATGCCACGATCGAAACTGGCAGCGGCGATCTCCCGAGGCAGGACCACGTCTCCTCCAGCCGCAGTTTGATGAAGTGCTGGCAACTACTCTGGCTGGTAGTACTACGTACACTCAGCGCCCAATCCCTGGTAAGGTCACACTCCGCCACTGTCACCAACTACACTGAGGGCCTGGCCGCCAGCAACCTGGCGCCGTCCTGCGGCGGCTGGGGCTGAAGCAACCTCCGCATCGCGACCATATCTGTTCGTGGAAAAAGACCGCTGTCGAGAACAACCAGCAGCCGTGGCGCCTGCGATTGCCTCCTCCGCAGCCGCACGCGCCTGAAGATCCAAGTCTCCAAGCTTAGGTAAAGCAGCCCCAGCTCGCTGCTGGTCAGGAGGATATTGCACCACGTAGCCCAGGTTGTCGTCCGAGACTCCTGGCGCGCCTCTCACGCTGCACCAGTTGGAAAACGTCCGCTCGGCACGCGCTGTTGGACCAGCCCTTGCGGCGGCGCTGGGGTGGCCAGCGCCCTGGCGGCCTGCGGCGCGGCCAGCGCTGGCTGGGCAGGCTCCCCTGCTTGCCACTCCAGAGCTGCGGGAGGGCTCTGGGCTGCGCCAGGCTGTGGCGTGGGCGGCGGCGGCGCGCCTGCAATCACAACCGCGGCGGAGGGGCGCGGATACCCTTGCCCGCACTTGGTGCCTGGCCTGGGCCCGAAGCCCCGACGATAGCCTCCTGGACCGCCCCCATGGCTTGCGCCAGCTGACTCGCTGGGCCACGCTGCGCCGCCAAGACACCCACATCGCCGTCAAGCGCTTGACGGGCTAGCAGACGGCGCCGAGCAGCTGAGACGAGAGCTGGCAATCTTCAAGGAACTCTTCATTCGACAGAACACGCTTGCCCCAAGCCCAGCACCAGCAGGAGAACGAAGATCAGCAACCTGAGGGACCCCTGGACTATTAAGGCGTGGGACACCCGTAGCACGTCGCATGCCACTAGTAGTGATTATTGATTTGGCACCGTCTATTCAAGCATCACCAGCAATTGACCCCCCTTAATGGGTATTGCTGAAACGGGAATACGAAAGCAAGTACCTGCGGCCGCACGAGGGCTCACCGCAGGGATCGTAGCCTCAGAGGCGCCCCGCTTTGGGCCAGCACCCCAGCTGCGGTCGAGCACGACGCCGCGGGGCGACGGTTTCGCACTTGAGCCACAATGGCTACGGATATTGCTCCCCCACCCTCTTCCTCCTCTCCTCCTCCTCCTCCTCCTCCTCCTCCTCCTTCCTCCTCCTCCTTCCTCCTCATCCTCATCCACATCATCATGCTCATGCTCATGCTCATCCTCATCCCTGCTCCCGCTGTGTGCGGCGGGCGGTCGGCAAGAGGGCGCCTCGGGATCGCCCCCCGACAATTCCTCGTGCTCGTCGTCGTCGCCCGCGTCCTCCTCGGCGCCCAGCAGCGGGGCCTCACGCGGCTGGCACGCGCCCCGCACGGGGGCGCGCCAGCCACAAGGTCGTCGCCATCATCGTGGGCGGCGTCGTCAACGTCATCGTCAGCGTCGGCAACGTCGTCGTCGTCGTCGTCGTCGTCAACGGCGGTGTCCGCGTCGTCGCCGGCGTCGTCCGCGTCGTCATCAACGGCGTCAGCGCCGTGAGGGGGGAGGAAAGAGGAGAGGCCCAGAACCCTGACGTCCACACGCTGTGGATTTTTTCCCAACGTCCAAAGTGGGGTTCTTGTTTTCTCTGGACACCCCGCGCAGGAACAGGAACCCACCATCATCATCATCATCATCATCATCATCATCATCATCATCATCATCATCATCATCATCACTCATTCCTCACTCACTCACTCACTCATCATCCCTCACACACTCACTCACTCACTCACTCATCATCCCTCACTGACTCATCAGCACTCACATATGATGATGATGATGAGTGTGCGCGTGAGAGAGTGTGATGATGATCATCATCATCACCAGTCAGTCAGTCAGTCAATCACTCACTCACTCACTCGCCGTGGGCCTCGTCTGTGAGTGGATTGCGAGGAAGTCTCAAGCTGGAGTCCCCTCTGGGGCCCGCGGATCATGTTACTAATCCGAGCGGGTCATCCAATTCCTGTAACTGTCGCCACTTTTGGGCTCTCGCGCTGCCAGAACGCAATTCCCAGGCCACATTTTGAATACCCGGAGCCAACTGTAGGCCACTTCGTGTTCTTCGTGCTCCCAGAACACCATTCCCGGGCCACATTTTGAATGCCCGGAGCCAACTGTAGGCCACTTCGTGTTCTTCGTGTTCCCAGAACACTACTCCAGGGCCACTTTCTGAATGTCCGGAGCCAAAACAGGAGGGCGAGGTCGGGGGCAACGTAGGGAGCGGGGGGAGGGCCCGCGCCAGGGCGAAAAGAAATATACGCAGAAGAGACAGCCAGGACGCCTCACCAACCACGAGGACGACGGTGAGGGCTTTTTCCAGTTTCGCCCAGAGGATTCTCATGCGGGGTCCTTCCGTCGGAGTATAAAAAACACGGCGGGCAGTTTGAAGACGCTTTGCGTTCGACTCTGGGGAACTTCCTTGGATGGAGGGGGGAGGGGGGGGACGCCGTGACGAGGCCCAGGGAGAATCCGAGCTTCACGCCTTTTTAGCCCAGCGCTGTTTGAAAAAGCGGGGGTGGGGGGGAAGAGTCATGCAAGAAAACTTGCATGAGTCCAAAGCAAAGCGCTTGTTTCGATTACAATTTTCGAAATCTGATGGCCCTCGCCAGGCCCCAGGACCCTCAAGAAACGACTTCAGAAGAGAAGCCAGTCCCAGGGCGTGGGGCGAGACGTCCTGGGGCTCGCATTACGAAACAGTCAAACATCGGGGGTGCGGGAGAGAGGACGGGGGAGGAGGAGGAGGAGGAGGAGGAGGAGGAGGAGGAGGAGGAGGAGGAGGAGGAGGGGGAGGAGGAGGAGGAAGAAGAGGAGGAGAGTGAGGAGGAGGAGGAGGACGAGGAGGAGGAAGGAGGAAGGCTCCCCACTCACCTCCGCCTCCTGCTCCTAGTCTTCACCTTGCCCTCCTCCTCCCCCCCTCCCCCCCCCCACCCACCTCTTTCCTCCCACGGGCCGCCACTCCGCATGACCCCAACCCAGAGCCCGGGTCGCCACACTGGCGTGCCTGGACTGCGCGTCCTGGGCGCCTCTCCCTCTGGAGCCCCCTCTCCGCGGCCGCCCTCGCCCCCCCCCCCCCTCCTGCCTCGAGGGCGCTCATTTGACGTACGGTCGGACCTGGGCCAGAAAAACATCACTCAAGAACACCGAGACCCTCCGTCGGCCAAAACAAACAGAACACCCAAGGGTACACTCCCCAGGATGCACAACGACATCCAACAAGCACGAAGAACACTGAGGTCCCCGCCCCGAACCGACCTCGATCTTATAATTACCTCGGTCCGACCGTAGCCCGACCCGGCCCAGGCCTCCCCGCGCTGAGCGACCGCCGGCGCGGCGACACAACGCTCCTTCTGGGCCCAAGGCCTGTCCGAGTGCTGCCGCGGAGGCGGGGGCGGCGAGGGGCGGGGCGGGCGGCACCTGCGCTTCGCCGCCGTTGGCCGGCCGCCTCAGGCCCATCGCCCCCTGCGGCGGCGAAGGGGGGGGGGTGGGGGAGGGGAAAATGGCAGAGGAGGGAGGAGGAGGGAGGAGGAGGGAGGAGGAGGAGGGAGGAGGAGGAGGAGGAGGAGGAGGAGGAGGAGGAGGAGGAGGAGGAGGAGGGAGGAGGTGGAGGACCAGTGCGCACCCAAGATTCATTAAGGATATTGCGATAATTCCTCCCTCCGAGTTCTCTCTTCACATGCCCCTACGAAGAGTCACTCTCACTGAGGGGAGCGCCCTGTTGGAATACAATCGCTTGAAAATCCTGAACTGCTCGAGGAGGGAGGAGTTTGAGAGGAGAGGGAAAAGAGCCTCCTCCCTGTCCGCCTCCTCGGTGTTTGGTGCTGCGGGTCGGTGCCCTCCCGATTCCCCTCCTAGGAAGCGCGTTCTACTGCTCGCAAATAGCCTAGATCAGTCGCGGAGGATCTACGATCCGTTACATCGAGACGAACGTAGGTTTTTGTTTTTATGACCTTTGCGAGTAGGCACTTTGCGACCAGCGGTACGCGCTCGGGCGTCCAAGAGGGGTGCCCGCCAAGAGGGGGGGCGAAAATCGTGACTGGCGGCATGTGCGCGGCCCAGGGGGGGGCGGGGACGCAATGAAGCAAGAAGAGGCGCCACGAAATCCCCCCCTGGTCATCGCCCCCCTCTTGGCCGCCCCCGAGCTCAGGCAGGCGAGCCGCGGCTGCCCGAGGAGGCGCTACAGCCGCGTCGGGTGCCGGGGAGCAGGGAGAGAGCAGGGCAGCGGGAGGCGAGGGGCAGAAAGAGGGGGAGACAACGGACGGTGGTCGAAGTAAGACGCCTCATCGACGAAGTGTGCGATTTATGGACTCTCGTTCTGTCGGGATCGTTCTTCGCCGCCCGCCTCTGAACAGCGACGAGGGATGTGCGAAAGCAGCTGTGAAAGACAGCCGACCCCATAGGCGTCCCAAGCTCTGCGAACAGAGCAAACAGGAAAGGGGAGGATTGGAATGGGAGGCCTCCCAAATGAGGTTCGCAAAATGGGATCGCAGAATCGCGCCGCCTCGCCGATACATCGGCGTTGCGTCGGCGACGTCGGGATGCAGAAAGTCAAACTCCGAACAGAACCGCATCGCCGATGCGTCGGCGACGGGGCGCGGCTCTCCAATCCCAACTGTTGAAACCCCTTGTGGGCGGCCTGGACGGGAAGAGGAAAAGGAGGAGCTGCGATGAGGACTCTCCGGGACCTTGGGATGGTGCCATCGCCGCCACGGCCAGGCGCAGCTCGGAAGCCAGGGTCGGCGCGGTGGCGCCAGTGACGGGCCCGGCGCGCGGCTCTGGGCGGAGTGCTGCTGGGAAGGGGAGAAGCCAGCCACGCCCCCCAAGCCCCCGATGTGCTGAAAACAGAACGCGGGATGCCCCTCAATCGGGAGAAGTAGGCAGAAGCATGCAGCAGGGAGCCGTTGGAAGCAGATTGGGTCGCCGTCCGCCCCCTGAAAGCGAAAGGACAGGGAAAGCGACTCCACCCTTGAAATAGGAGGGCGGCTGAGTATGTCCGAATCTGACAAGGGTTGGAATGGATTGGAATGGGAATCCAACGACGCCTTCATCAACGACCCATGGGCAGGGGTCTCAGTCCACCTTCTTGCGGCACGGGCCCGCCCGACGTTGCAGGCTGCGCCCGCTCTCCACTTTCCCTCAGCCACCGCGCCTCGATTGCAAGTCGGTTCAGCGGCTTCGGGGCTCTGAGACATGACCCGCGTTGGAGAATCGGGCCTCCTGGGAAGGGGTCGAGAGACCTGGGGTCCCCGCGCTGGGCAACAAGCAGACACCGCCAGAGGGCTGGGGCCACATGCCCTGGAGTCCCGACGGAGGCGGTGGGTCTCCTTCTCCTCCCCCCCCTCCTGCTCCTCCTCCTCCTCCTCCTCCTCCTCCTCCTCCTCCTCCTCCTCCTCCTCCTCCTCCCTCTCCTCCTGCTCCTCCTCCTCCTCCTCCTCCTCCTCCTCCTCCTCCTCTTCCAGCGCTTCCCGATCCTCTGACCTCAGTCCCCTCCTCCTCCGAGCCAACGGGATGGTGTGAGCCTGGCGGAGGCGCGCACGCGCAACACAGCACAACACAAACGCTAGTGCACACATACGCGCGGGTGCGCGGGCGCACGCATGCAGGCACACGGGCTCACACGCATGCGCAGAAGCACGCAATCAAGCATCCCCCCCACAACCGCACCACACTACACCCACAGGGGACGGGGTCCCCTGGAGGGGGAGTGGGCCCGAACCAATTTGCCTGGGGGGTCCCAGACCCTGGATCATGTACGCGGATGCTCTAGGAGCGGGTCGCCCCTCTCCTGCTCCTCCCCATCACCTGCATCCAAACTGTAATGGAATTCGCGCCACAACCCAACGGCCGATGACCACCCCAGTCCAATCCTGCGAAAATTGCAGGCCGGCCACACTGGAAGCCTCCCGAATGGGACCAGAGCAGCTGGAATGTGGGAGATCGCACCGCATCGCTGACGCATCAGCGACGTCGGAACGGAGAAAAACAGGCTCAGGATCAACAGAAGAAAGTACTGCATAAACATGATCTTTTCGGAGCTCCGCACGGGTCTCTTGGATCAGCGCTGGGCTCCCTTCCCAGGCGCGCGGAGCGCGCCAGGGGTGGAGCTGGAGACGCCGCCAGGGGGGCCCAACGCAGATCCAGGAGGTTGTTTTACTTTAGACTTTGGCAAGTTGACTTCCGTGGAGGGAGAGGAGTACGGGGGCGTGGCGAGACCCGAAAAACATCGGAACGCACTTGCACGCCTTTTCGGCCCAGCGCTGTTTGAAAAGGCAGGGGGGGGACTGCCATGCAAGTAACTTGCCCGAGTCTAAAATGAACCACTCTCCAAGAAATACGCGCGGACCTCCGAAAAAGTAGGCTTATGCCGATGTTCGCATAAGGTCCCCCCCGAAGCATGGGCCAAAGAGGCACCAGGAGCATCGAAAACCTCATCGCCTCCTCCTCCTCCTTCTCCTCTGAGGGGGCGACGACTGGGAAGTCTTCGAAAGAACGAGTAAGGGCCACTAGGTCAGATGAAAGGGCCACGAGGCTGGATTAGCCCAAATGAAACCCAGAATAAGCCCAAGATCAAGCCGGATGAAGCCGGATGAAGCTGGATTAAGCAGAATATATCGGAACTAAGCGGAACAATGTCAAATGTTGCCGCTTTTCGGTCACAGGTGTACTAGCGCGAATGCTGAACTTAGCCTCCCAAAAGTTGCGCCCTCCCATTCCCAGACATCCGAAAACGTGACTTTGGCTGCAACGTGGCTCCCGAAAGGTCTGGACCCCTTCCCGGCGAGTGGCCTTTCGCGGAGCCGGAGCCTCGTGAGGGTTCCCGACGGCCGGAAATGAGCAAAAGCCTTCGGTCGTATTTTTGTCCCATCTCCTCGAAGCGCTCCAGCCTCGCCCGTGAGGCCTGGGCAGAACGGCGAGGCCGTCTGGTGGCCGGGGGCTCGGCCCGAAGACCCTCGAGCCAGGGACGGGCAGAGAAGAGCGGGAGGTCGCGCAGCACCACCGTGGCGCACCGCGCGAGGGACGCCCTTGGCAGATGGCAGGGAGCAAGCTCGTGGGGCGCGTTCTCCCCCTCCATCACCCTCCCACGACTCCTGCTCCCTCCTGCCTCCTCCCTCTTACTCCTCTTCCTGCTCCTGCTCCTGCTCCTCCTCCTCCCCCTCCTCATCCTCCTCATCCTTCCCCTCTTCTTCCTCCTCCTCCTCCTCCTCCTCCTCCTTCCCCTCCTCCCTCCCTCGGCCCCTCCCTCCCTCCCTCCCTGCCTCCTCTCCTCCTCTCTCGCCCTCCACCTCCTTCCTCATCCTCCTCTCTCCTCCTCCTCCACCTCCACCTCCTTCATGCTTCTACTCCTCCTCATTCTCCTCCCGCGTCATCCGAAGCATGCCATGATCATTATCATGATCATGATCATGGTCATGATCATGATCATGATGATCATCATCAGTATCAGTATCAGTATCAGTATCAGTATCAGTATCAGTATCAATATCAGTATCAGTGTCAGTATCAGTATCAGTATCATCATCAGCATCATCATAAGCATCATCATCAGCATCACCAGCATCAGCAGCATCATCAGCATCATCATCACTATCAGCACCATCATCATAATCACCAACAGCATCGTCATCATCATCACCGTCATCATCATCATCACCGTCATCGTGATCATCATCGTCATCGTCATCGTCATCAGTATCATCACCAGCAGCGTCAGTATCATCAGCATCATAACCACCATCAACATCATCATCATCATCATCATCATCATCATCATCATCATCATCATCATCCTGATACTCTTCGTCATCATCAACATCATCAGCATCATCATCAGCATCATCACCACCACCACCAGCATCATCATCATGAGTATCATGATCAGCATCAGCATCACCATCATAGGTATCATCAACATCATCGTCATCATCATCATCGTCATCACCAGCATCATCATCATCGTCAACACCATCATCATCATCATCATCATCATCATCATCATCATCATCAACCGCAGCAACACCAGCAGCCGCAGCTCATCATCATCATCATCATCATCAGCATCAGAAGCATCGTCAGCATCATCAGCAGCATCATCAGTATCATCAGCAGTATCGTCATCATCAGCATCATCGTCATCATCATCATTATCAGCGTCATCGTCATATTCAGCGCCACCAGCATCAGCATTAGCAGCATCATCAGCACCGTCGCCGCCTTCATCATCGTCCCCGTTATCGCCATTAGCAGCATTATCATCAGCAGCATTATCATCATCATCAGCAGCATCAGCATCGTCATCATTCCCATCACCATCCCCATCATCATCAGCATCAGCACCAGCATCGTCATTATCATCAGCACAATCATCAACATCACCAGCAGCATTGTCATGATGATCATCAACATCATCCTTAATGCCAGCATCAATAGCATCATAAACAGCATCATCATGACCATTCACAGCAACATCAACACCAACAACAAGATCAGCAGCAGATACATTACCATGGTCGTCAACAATATCGGCATCATCATCAACCTCCTCATCATCATCAGCATCAGCATCAGCATCATCATCCTCATCATTAACATCGTCATGATTAGCATCACTATCATCATCTTCATCATCATCATCATCATCATCATCAGCATCATCATCATCATGTCTGCCACATTCCTTCCTTTTCCCCCTCCGTCATGCACGCTGCAAGCGGTGATCAATATTCGCACGCAGGCGGGATGGGAGTGTGAGAGAGAGAGAGAACCAACATACAGAGGCCATACACATGTAGTAGAGTTACAGTGGTAGGGAGTTGCACGCGCGCCCTATCTCCTGCCTAATGGAGCGGCGAGGGACAGGAGGAGCAGGGTAAGGAGGGATGGAATCCTTTTGGGCTACCCTGAGGCCTTGCTGGGGCCATCGTGGGGACAAGTGTGGTGGGCGCAGCTGCGAAATGACACTGAAACGCTCTGGGCTGAAGAGGGCCCTGGGGGGTGAGGCGACGGAGCGGGTCCGTGCCAGCGGGGATGGGCCAGCGGCCAGGGGGGCCCCGGAGGGGCCAGGAAGCCAGGGGAGGGGGACAAACACCACGAACGGCGAGCCAAAAACTACGTCAACATTGAAAGGTCCATGCTGGGTGACCTGGGGGGAGGGCGACGGCAGGGGTCTGCGCCGACGGGCCCGGGAGCCCCGAGGGGGGCCGTGCGCCTGATTCAGGAGCCGTGCCCCAGAGATGCGCCCTGCGCCTGCTCCCCGTCACAAGACCGCCGCGGCCCGGGACACCCCGGATGTCGTCTGGCAGGGAAGAATGCTCCTTGCCTTGTGCGTGCAGGTTTTGTCCAACGCTGGGCTTCGCTTTTGCATACTCCTGGTCTTCGAGCCTGGCTGGGAGGGTGGCGCACGGGACCTCACGAGGATCCACCACTTTCGCCACCTCCCAGCCAGCGCTCGAAGGAGAAAGAAAAAAGGGGGGGGGCCCGACCCCTGCTCTGGGCCCCTCCCAAAGACCGAGCCCTCCAGCGCCCCGCTGGCCACCCAGGGGCCAGGAAGGAGAAGGACGAGCCACGAACGACGAACCGCGAAGCACGGGAGAGCACAGCGGTCGGGGGCCTGCCGGCCGCGGTGGGGGGGCCACAAGGCGCGGGGGCTATGCGCAGGTGGGGCCTTGAGTGCTCGGGGCGAGAGGGCCGATCTGGCTGTCGGGGAGAGGAGGAACGGGGCAGCCCCCTGGCAGGGTGGTCGCACGTTATCGCGCGGCTTTCCAGGAGGCTAACACGCGCAAAGACGGGCCAAGAGGGCACCACGCGGCTTTCAGCACGGCCCAGGAAGGCCCCGAGAGGGCCCAAGAGCACTCCGAGACGCCCAAGACGGACGCAGAAGGGCCCACAAACGCCCAATACGGGCTCAAGACGGACTCAAGACTGCTCAAGACGGCCAAAAGACTCAAGAAGACCTCACAGGGCTCCAAGAGGAGCCTCAAGTGGGCCCCAAGAGACAACAAAACGGTGGTTTCCCGTACGGGCTGGAAAGATGTTAGCGTTCTCGCGTTTCTTGCTTCCAACATTCCAGCGCGGCCAAGGAGGCGCCTGAATCACTTCGAGACGGCCCGAGAGGGCCCAAAGAAGCCACCAAGTCGGCCCAAGGAGATCACAAGACGGCCCAGGAACGTCGAAGAGGGCCCAACAGGACCCCGAGAGGGGAACCCGAACTGACATTGCGAACCGCTCCCCGAAAGATGGCCCCCGAGACCGCCAGCAGGGCAACTGGAGACTCCCAAAGAGTGCGCTTCAATGTTTCTGCCCCGCAGGGTGGTACCTCGGCCCCGCAGGGTGTTACCACGCAGGGACCTCGAGATTAGACCGCCCAAGGATAAAGCCCAAGACCCCCAACATGCCCCCACGAGGCTCACAGAAGTCCCCGAGACCTCCCCAAGAGGCCCCGATATACACCCTCAAGATGGCACAGGAGGCCATCAAGAAGCCTCCCAAATCCATCCAAGAGGCATCCCAAGAGATCCCGAGAGGCATCCCGGAGGAATTAAGCCCCAATCCAGGCAGTGGCGGGGTTGTGCGAAGGCATCCCTCTCCTTCCCTCCCTCTCCCTCTCCCTCTCCCCATCCCTCCCTTTCTTTTTTGTCTCTCTCTCTCTCTCTTTCGTTCTCTCTTTCTCTTCTCTCTCTCTCACTCTCTCTAGAAGGCCCTGTGTCAGCAAATGCAACGACATGGGCTGCGCATGTGCAAACAGTGAATGATATATGTGCGTTGGACAACTGAATGTGAACATACACGCATACATGTGGTCGCTTCCCCCGAATCATCATACCGCTGCGCCTCCTCCTCCCCTTCGGTGTTTGGACGCGGCGGCCACCGCCACTGTCGCTGTCGCCGTCACCCGAGTAGGTGGCCCCGACGAGGGGGTGACGGCGGCAAAACCAATGCCGAAACGCGCCCAGAGTCCCGCAAGGCATGCGGGTACAAACCCGACTTGTCTGGCTGATGCTCTGGGGGGCCTGTGCTTAGGGGAGGACGCAGCAATGCTTAACAACGTGCTGTCAACCAAACCTGCAGGGTGGGCCCTTTCCATTTCCCTGTGCACTTCAGCTTCGGCTTCGGCTTCAGCTGCCGATGCTCCGCGGAAGGCCTCCGGCCCAGCTTATCCGAGTGAGGTTTTCCGTTCGCCAGGGTGCTCCCCCCCTCTGTGTCCGCCTCCTGCTCGTTCTCGTCCTCCGTCTGCTGTAAAGAACCAAAGCAGGGGAGGAGGAGACGACGACGCGCGGCATCTGAAAACCATTGTGCATCTCATGCTTCCCAAATCCTGCAACCGAAAAGCACTAGGTTTTTCAAGTGTTTCTGGTTCTTCAGACTTTCGGAAACACTACAAGTCGTTGTATCGTTCGTACGGATCACAGTCGTGCAAACTTGTACATCCGTCGGAGACTGCGCAGACTGGGTAACCAGTCAATGCGAAAACACAGCGTTCTAGAGTTCCTGAACATCTGACGTCCGGAAAATCTGACACCCACCATATTCTTAGGTTCAGGATCTGGGAAGCCTGTATAAAAGCACGCCGCGCCTCTCTGATTCTCTATTTCTGCATTATCGGTGTTTGCATCTCTCTCTCTCTCTCTCTATCGTGTTCTCTCCCCCACTCTCTCTCTCTCTCTCTTTTGTTTTGTTTCTCTCTCTCTCTCCCCATGTATACATCTATATATCTATATATGTATCCCTGTCCTCCTCCATCCCGACATTCCCGGTGCTTCCCTTCCTTATATCGTCCTCTGCCCTCCCTCCATGATCCCGAATCCAGCTGATCTCATGATTCGCCTTGTTGTTCTTATCTTCCTTGCGTGAAGTCAAAACAACAACATGCGAATTGCAACATTCGGTGGTATCCGGGCTTCGCTAGATCAGAGGGAGGAGGAGGAGAAGGAGAAGGCGAGGATGAAGAGGAAAAGGAGGTG